TCCTTGCCTTGCTAATTACACTGCGCCCATGGGCATAGAGAGAATTGTTTCAAGTATAAGATCTCTCTAAATATGGGCTTAGGACTCATTCTTGTTGTTTTCTTGTTTTTCAATGGAAAATAGTCAACGGTCAACCGTCAATTATTACCAGGACTCCGTATTACATTCCGAAGGGAGGCATGTTGAAGAATGCGAAACCGGAAGAAGTGGGGTCTTGAAATGGGTGGTCGTATGCGGCGGCTCCGCCGCCGGAGCTTTGAGATGACCCCGATGCCAGAACCTGATGCGGCAGCGTCTCTTCCCCCTCCAGCGGCAGCCTCTCGTAGGCGGCATTCGCAAAGGAGGCTCCGATTATGATGACGGGGCCGGCGGCGACGAGCTCTCCCGCCACGCTGCCGCCAACCACCTGGCCCTGGCCACCCGCCAGATATACACAGAGACTGGTGGCCCCCGGCGGCGCTGGCGCCGGCAGAAAAGACCCAGACAGCGAGAGAATCTCAAACCTGCCGTGCAGTGTCGCCACCGGGCCCCGCCGGAACGTGACGTCCGTCACCGCCCCGGTGCCGCTCATCACGCAGATCCCGCGCTGTCGCCGCCGCGCATACTCAGCCAAGCAGCCGTACACGTCGCAGCCGCTGCCGACCTCAAAGATGTGCGCTTTGAGTGCGTTGGCGCTCTCCCGGGAGATAATCACCGACGGCTTCGGCTTGTTCTTCGATCCGGTGGGCCTTCCACGGGCCCGCCGGGTTGCAGCGGAGGAACTCTCCGGCACGCCGGCGTCGTCTCTAATTTCGTCGGAGCGGTGAATCTGATCTTGATGATGAGTACCGGTGGTATAAGAAGCCATAACATCACCCAAAAAAAGAAAATTATCTTTTTTATAAAATCGTTGGGGCTTTAAAGCATTTATTTAGAATGATTGGGAGGAAAATAGAAATAAAATTACGTACTCTGCAGTAGGGGTGTAAACGAATCGAATCGGAGCGAATACCGATATATTTGAATTTGTATTTGTTTAATTTTTTCGAATACGAATCCGAACCCGAATATGAGACGAATTCAAAATAAGATTTGAATAAGTATTTGATTAATATTCGAATAGTTATCGAATCATAAACGAATATTTGAATAATCATACTATGTAATTTATATGATGGACCAACATCAATTTGTAATTTAACTTACGATACTCTTTATACTATACTATATTCCGTATATAAAAACATTAATACATCTGCATCTTACACAAATTATATTTTATAAAATATAACTATCAAAAATCATATGCTTTAGATTTTCGTGTTATGTTAATTTATTGAATTCTTAGTATTTTAAATACACTTTATACTATATTACTTTGCTTGACTTTTGATGTTGAAAATATGATTTGTGTATATATATACATATATTCGAATATTCGAATATCATCCGAATCGAATATATCCCTATTTGTATTTGTATTTGATTAATATTCGAATCAAAAATAATATTTGAATTTGAATTTGTATTTGAATAACGCGAATTCGAATCATCATATTCGAATACAAATCGCAAATCGAATTTAAAATATTTGATTTGTTTACATCCTACTCTGCAGGCATGAAAATAAGAAAAGAAAAAAGGAACCCAAATGCAAGAGCCAGAGAGAGAGTATGTGTGTGTGAGAAGGGAAAGAAACCAAATGCAGCCCTTCCAAACCCTATGATAGTATGACGTCCTCTAATTATTACGTGAACTTTGCCCTAAATAACTTTAAAATTAAAAAACTAAAATTTAGAGTATATGATAAAAATTTAAATAGCATTACATGTGTTTTTTCTAATGTACACTACTACAAAAACAATTAAATAAACCTCCCATTTGCATCGGTAAGCCAAACAAACGATGTAAATGATAAAAAAAATTCGCGTACCGCTTAGTTTTTGGATCGGTTATTCCAAATAACCGATTCAAATAACCTTTTGAATCGGTTATTAGAAATAACTGATCCAAAAGAGACCGATAAAACACATCCAATCCTACCTTATCCTTACGCGATTTTGAAGAAAAAAAAACCTCCAAACCCTTTCTTCGTCGTCGTGCTCGCTCCTCGACGTTGCCCAAGCCGTTGCCGTTGCCTTACCGTCGTCAACTTCCCAGCCACGCCCTCGCCGTGCCCGTGCCGCCTCGAAATATGCTCCACTTCGCCCTCGTCCACCTCACCCTCGCCGTTCTTGCCTAGCCTCGCCGTCTCCGTTGCTTCGTCGTCGCCGTGCCGTTCTTGCTGCCCCGCGTTGCCGTCGTCAACTCACAGCCTCTTTTAGTCATTATTCAAGTAAATTTTTGCTATCACTAGACATTATGGGCATTTTTAAGTGATATTTAGTAAATAAAACAATTTAAGTACTATTTAGAGAAATTACTTTAGTTTTAGTGATATTTAGTGCAAATATTTCTATATACGCATAAAAAATTCATTTGATTTATCACGCTTGGAATTTTCAAAATTTTATTTTATTGTGCTAATATGTAATATAAATAGAGTAATTGATGTCCAAAGTACATTTAATTTGATTCGAAAAAATTAAATTGGAAAAACACATTAAGACTAAAAAAACCTCTTATGAAAATGACCAATTATAAGACTCTACTCCTCCGTCTTAAAATGTTTGTCACATTTCTTTTTGCAACCATCGCGAGAAATTTTGTTTATTTGTACGTTTTCATTGATTATTTAATAAAATAAAATATTCTTGTCACTTCTTTTTCAAAAAAAATTCATATCATTTTTAAATATGTAAATTTTATTTTTTATTTCTATCTAATAGTTAAATAAAGAATTGAAAAAACTTGAGTTTTATCTCGTTTTAGGAAATGTAATAAACATTTAAAGATGGATGGAATAGTATTTAGTATTTTAGTTCATGTAAATTTTTGTAGGGTACAAAACCCAAGAGACCAACAAATTCAAATTAGTAAGCAAAAAAATTGGCATTGATTACTGGTAAACCTAATCTGGATATCCCTGTCCATGTCTTACAATGACAGCTTGACTGTGGGGTTTTTTGACTTCTCCCTCCTATGTTTACTCATTTTTTCTCCACACTTTTTACTCTTTTGGTCCAAACAACTTGCTAAAAAAACAACTTAATCATTCTTCTTACATCTCAAAATATTTATCACATTTTAAAAAGTCAATCAAAATATCAAGTTTTTTAAATTCTTTTTATTTAAGTATTAGTATAGAAATAAAACACAAAATTTAAACATTTAAATAAAAACTACATAAAAAACTCTTCATGATTTAAAATACCACTCGGTTCACTTTGTCCACAAATAAACTTTCACTATTCACAGAGTCAAGCTTTATTTACTTTTTGCCCTATTTTCGTCATTCATTTGATAAAATAATATACTCCGTAGTCATGCACGTCACCTTTAGTTTTGTAGATCTTTTGATATATTTTTTTAGCATGTAATTTTTATTTTTAAATTTTACACCATTTTTCATATAAAATAATTCCAAAACAAATTCAGTCAAACATCGTAACACGTAACAAAAATTTATCTCTAGACGGAGGGAGTATTGTTTATATTTTGGGAGAAAGGAAGTGAAGATAGAGGAGTTCACGTGCGGTCAACGGGTGAACGGAAAGTAATGAAGGGGCAGGGGCAGCGTTGTCGGCCACGAGGCGCACTTCCTTTCCTTGGAACTTGTTTCATTCGTGTCTTCCCTCTCATTACTCTTTTTTTTTCTTTCTTTTTTTCTAAAAAAAAAAAACTACCTACACACCACTCTGATTTACACCAAATTATACATTGAATATCTGCATTTGTACACTGATGATATACACTGGGACAAAGTAAAATTAGTAATATCGTAAAGTTTTATTTCCTTCGTCTCAAAATATTTGTCACATTTGCTTTTTCAGCAGTCGTGGGAACTTTTGTTTATTTCCACATTTTCATTGGTTATTTGATAAAATACAATATTCTTGACACTTCTTATTTCGAAGAACTTTTCATATAGTTTTTTGATATGTAAATTTTAATTTTTATTTCTATACCAATGTGTAAATAAAATGAATTGAAAAAACTTGATATTTTGCATCGGAAATACAATATAGACATTTTGTATCTGTGTGAATGTTCAATACACCGATGCAAGCTTTTGATGTATGAGGTATGGGACGAGAAAGGGGAGCGTGAAGACGACGTGACACCAAGGGAAAATATGTAAAACTTTTGATATACTCCGTACTTTTGAATGATACGGAGTATAAAAAAGGTTTTGAGTGATTTTTTATACGGAGTATAAAAAGGGTAGCTTTTGACGAGGAAAGGAGAGCTTTTGAATGATTTAAAAAATGACCTATATACTTGGTTTTTCGTCTCTCCCTTTTCTTCTGTCATTCTCTTCTTTGAAAATTTATTTAAATAAGACTAAAACATAATGATTTTCTCAATATAGGATTATATGTTTTTATTTCGCAGTGTAAGACCATTAGTCATTGTACATTAGTCATTATTCAAGTAAATATTCACCATCATTAAACATTATTTCTTCCACTAAACATCATTTAGTATTTAAAAAAATAAAAAAATTCAAGTCCTACATTGGAAAATAACTCATGTTTTTAATTCTATTTAGTGCAAATTTTTCAAAAACATAACTTTCATTCTTTAAATAAACCAATTATTATCAAATCATATCAAAATCTTATCTATTCTTAAGACTCACAATGCAAAGTATAGTCTTTGTTTGATTATAACATTAAATAATTAATTTTAAGTCTGAACTTAATTGCAATTACAGACTATTTTGCTCGTCTCATATCGCTTTGGGTAATACTGAAAAAAAAAGTATTCTATATTGGAAAGAAGGGGAGATAACTATAAATGGACCTAAATTTATTACTGTTAGCGGGTATTTGTAATTTTGGACTGTAATTAGTTTATCGGGCCCACTTGTAACCCTAAGCCCGCTTGTACTTGTATATATACACTTGCTTGTGATTAGTAAAACCAGATCAGTTTTACTCTAAATTTCACAATTACTATTATTATTTGATATATATATGTTCCCAGGTACAATATTTTCATTGGTTATGTTTTTCCATTGTGCAAAGTTACACCTTCAAAGATATATATTTACACACACATAGAGACACAAATACATAAAATGCTATTTGCAACCCCAATTGGAACAGTCTCTTACTTAATTACAAAATTGTCAAAAGGCCCTCCAAAAATGTTGAATCATTGATTCCCCCCTCCTCCTTCTTCGTGTTTGAGTTGTCGGATCCTCTGGCGTAGCCTTCTCCGATGATCGTCGATCTTCCACAATCCGTGTCCCAACACGACAGCGGAGTATATCCCGTGCGTAATTATCGGTGCAAGAATGTTGTTTGTCTGGCATTGATAAAAAGTTTTTTTAACATTCATTATTCAATAAAACGAATTATTCTCAAATTGTTAAGCTTTTATAAGTAGAGGAGCTTAATTAATTAATTAATTGATTGATTACCTGTATCCATTCAAATCCAAGGTAGAGTCCTAAGAATGCCTCTAGCAAGGGAGAGTATATCTTCTTCATTTGCCGCCTCTCGTACCACGCTGTTACGTACAATTTATATTGGTTGAAAAAAAAAATTATATGAGTTTTGAAATTTAAAACAAACGTATCCGGAGATATATATATCAACAATCTGGCATTGGTCTTTGATAGTGTGTGAAAAATGTGTACCTGCAAAGAGCTTTTTGAAATCTTCACGACCGGAACGCGATTTGAGTACGGGCGCGATAACATATGTGGGATCTAAAGGGGAAGATGAACAACATTGTAAACCACATTTGTTTACTTAGGTACAAAACCAAAAGAGAGAATGCCACAAAAAGTAAAATTTGTGTACGTAGACTTTATTCCTCTACTCGAGAATAACCGAGTCACGTTTTGATATTAAAAACAAATTGAAGCAAGATTTGTATGTATAAGAGTGTTCAAATAATAATAATATGCAATTTGTTTCCTACCTTTTGGAGAGGAAGCCATGTAATAAAGAGAGCCTGTAAGAGCCGCCGTCAAAACGGCGGCAAACGCCTGAGCAAACGGCACGAACGGTGGCAAAACACCCGTCTACATGTCGATATACATGTTGTGGGTCCAGCCCATTTTATTTGGGTTCCATTTTTCTTTGGTGGAGGGCCCAATTGTGTTTTTACTTTGTTGACTAAAAAAAAAAGGAGAGTAAAAAAAAGGGGCTGGGCAGTGGTGCACTTACGGACAGAGCAGAAAAAAAATATCAGAATTGAGAGAGGAAAGGTGCTGGTGCAGAATTTACAGACCAGCCGCACAAATTCGATCATCGCCGGAGATCCAGCCGTTGGATTGAGCTGAAATTTTCAGAGGTTGTTCCCAACACTTAGGGCTTCAATCTGTTCAATTTTCACATCAATCGGAGCTACGGATCTTCTGTAATCGCAGCTGGTGCGACGCNTGCCTCTTATGTATGTTGTTGTTGGTGGGCTGTGACATCCTTGTAGACTGAGTTTGGGTGTTTTTACCCTCAATTTGCATAATAAGAGAAGAAGAGGGCGGACTCCCTATAAGTCCCGTGGTTTTTATCCTTCACATCGAAGGGGTTTTCCACGTATAAAAATCGTGTGTCGTTTGCATCTTTGTTCTTCATATTTGGTTGTGGTTTATTTGATGTGTTGCTGATTTTATGTGCTTGGTTAATCAATAGTGGTGAATTGGGTTAAGTGTTTGGTTGGTTGTCTTGAAGTTGATCCTTGTAGGTGCATCCTACTTGTTGCTTCTCTCCCAACATTTGGCATCAGAGCATTGGTTTAAACCGTAGATATGGAGTCTGGAAATAATTCTATGGTTAAATTGACATCAACCAATTATTCCATTTGGCGTCCTATGATGGAGGATTTGTTATATTGTAAAGATTTGTTTGACCCAATTGATGTGGATAAAACCAAGAAGGATGACATGCCCACTAAACCTGAGAAGATGACGGATAAAGAATGGGAAAAACTGAAAAGAAAGACCTTGGGAACTATCAGACAATGGATTGATATTAGCATATTCAATCATGTATCCCAAGAGACTGAGCCACTCGAGTTGTGGAGAAAATTGGAGGGTCTTTATGAGAGAAAGACTGCTCATAACAAGGCCTCGTTGATTAAGAGGCTTGTTAGTCTCAAGTTGAAGCCGGGAAAATCTGTTTCTGAGCATCTTAGTGATTTTCAAGATATCATTAACAAGTTGACTGTGATGAAAATTGTTTTTGATGATGAGTTGCAGGCTTTATTCCTATTGAGTTCTTTGCCAGATAGTTGGGAGACTTTGGTTGTGTCTATCAGCAACTCAGCTCCAGATGGTGTGCTTTCATTGGATGTCATTAAAGAGAGCATGTTCAATGAAGAGCTTAGAAGAAAGGAGATGGGTGTTGACATTTCACAAGCACTTGTGGTAGAGAATAGAGGAATAAGCAAAAGCAGAGGTCCCAAGGGGCGTGGCAAGTCAAAGTATAGGTCCAAGTCCAAGGATGGGAGAGAGCCCACTATATGTCACTATTGTAGCAAACCTGGCCATATTCAAAAGTTTTGCTACAAGAT